GGATACGAGATGTTTGTGTGAGTGGAGTTTAGACTGTTTCTCTTCCGAGTTTTTTTGTTTTTTTATTGATTGTTTTGGTAATGAAATTTTCATGAGAAAAAGTCATTAAGTTGCAAAAAAAAGGACAACACTGTGGGGGGGGGGGGGGAAACAAAGGGCCCTCTCTCCCTCTCCCATTGTCGCTGAATCTGTCTAGTTTATGACGGGTAATATTTTCGTGTATCTCTTAATATTGTAACAGGCTTCTAAGTGGCGTAAAGATAACAAATGAAAGTGAAGCGTTTAAGGTGAGCCTCTACCTTGTCTGTACCCTTTTGATTGTAGTGTTCTTCTGCTATTGTATGCATCAACAGCCGATTTCACAGTAGAAAAGGATTATCAGTCTTCAAAATCCGTCAAAATTGAGGGATAAACAGACGGATAAAGTCAGGCCCGGTTCAGACGCCCCTTCACTCATTTGCCGAACCTAACTGATGAATTTTAAAAGTACGTCAAAAGAGGGGCGTTTGAATCAATTTGGTACGGCAGTTTTAGTTTGATAGGGCAAAAGCGTTGAGTTCGACAGAGTCTGTCGCACTTTTGTCGAAATTAACTTAGGCTCGACACACAGTGCGCCGTCTAAATCAGATGTCGCGCCAGTGTCGCTCCAAAGTCGAACTTATTCAATTAGGTTCGGCACATGAAAAGTACGGCGTCTGAACCAGGCCTCAGACGGAATATTCGCGGATAATCCGTCGCTAGTGTGAAAACGGCCAATAGCAACAACTACCAGATAACATCACAAAATTCCAAATGAAGAGGCGCGTGAAATTTGAAAACAAGAACAGATGGCAATGGTAGTATTTTGTTTTGTTCACTTTCAATCTTCTCTTAACCTGTCAGTGATTTTGACTGTTTTTGGAACATTTAAGGTAACTGCTTTAGCATTCACGTCCACAAGGATGCAACCGCGCAATGGGCAAATCGTGTCATTTGCCCACTACTTTTCCGTCTACGACTGTAATATCCTAGAAAAATTGGAAACAATAGTTATGTAAAATTTTGGGGGGTAAATAAGGTGCGTTATGGTCCATGTCTAAAATGGCGAATAGTTGACGTTACTTATAATCAGTCCGTTCTGCAGAGTAGTTAATTTTTGAATAACGCTTTCTTTTCTTTGGAAAGGCAATGAAGATTTTACACGAAAGAGGCTCGAAAACAGTAGTAATAACCACCTCAGAACTGGGTGACCACAAGACTCTGATAGCGCTTGGTAGTACAGTAAATGGTATGTGGATCACTGGCAATGGGCCCCTATCTGACTGGACATCTTCTAACGCTGCTATTTTCTTAACGTGCTCATTGTATACCCTCAAGATCCTGAAAACCACACCCTATTCAGCGGCAAATATCCATAAGTCCGTAAGAACAAATAAGGGAGTGCCCCCCCCCCCCGGCTGAACGCCAAGATTTAGTGTGTCCCTCCTCCTATTAGTTCTCGTTTGATTTTGGTAGCTTACCCTGACACTGCGACTACACATTTATTCCTCTTTCTCTCCATTTAAGGTTTTATTTATCTATTTATGCCGCTAACTTAACAGATTTCTTTGAAATGAAATTGTTTGATTTGCTTTCACTCCAAGGCGGTAATAAGTGGGTCCGGATGGAGATTCCAAAATTAGAAGCTACCTTCACAGGAACGGGAGACCTATTTGCTAGCGTACTTCTCGCCTGGTTACACAGACATCCCAATGACCTGGCACTTGCTTGCGAAGCAACGGTATCAACAGTGCAAGCAGTGCTAAAAAGGACTCTAGCTCATGCACAACGTAAGTAGCATCTAGTTCAAGTGATTTATGTAATAACATGTAATTTGATACATTCAAGAATTTTTCAAGCTTAGTGACCGACTTGAGTGAAATCAAAATTCAGCTAGTTTGATCCGAACTGAGTTGACAAAGAAGATTGGTTGCCATAGAGAGATAAACGAGCTAACGTTCCCCCCTTCGTCAGAGTGAATCATATCGGTCAGTTGTGTGTGCTTTATATATTGAATACCCTGTGAGCAGGGTTTCTGTCTTGCATGGCTTTTAGCATTTACGAAGTCGTTCGCGTCGCTTGTCAGTCGCGTAGTTGGTTTGTTTACGCCTCAAGAGAAACGGGGGCTTAAATAAACCAACCATAAACGCGATTGACAAGCGACCCAAACGACTTCGTAAATGCTTAAAGCCGTGCCAGAAAGAAGCCGCTGCTCGTTGGGTTTGTATCGAATGGTGGAGCTACGCTAATTGTGGGAACATGATAGCATCAAAGAGAAGTTGATTATCCCTTAAAGTCCAAAAGCTACGAAAAAATGGGCAACACAAACGTGCAACTTATTTCGAAACATTGTTGCTAAACGGGTTGAAAAGTGATGATGCGCGTTTTACCACCCACGAATCAAACCTGTCTCGAACAAATCAATTTGTTTCAGGTTGTGAGAAGTTGTTACAGAAAGTATAGTTAAATCTGTTTATGTTGCATTTACCTGTTTTGTTGCAAGACAGTTTGAACTTGGGTGGGAAACGCACAACATAGCTCTTCAACACGTTTCGCAGCAATGTTCAAAAACAAATTGCACGTTTTTTTCTTTTCCGTTTTACTGTAGCCTTAACAAATCGAAAATTAAAAAAATTATTCCTTCATTTACCCTCAGCAGTAACCGAAAACAAAATTCAGCTAGCGGCCACTGCAGGACTTGAACACAGTGCCTTCCGATTCCAAATCCATGCAAGGTTCAATAAGCCTCCTTAAGTTCTCTCACCTCGTTATACACACTTATAACTTTCATCACAAGCTAATCACTTCACTTCAAAGAAAATTTTTTGTTTTAACAGGATTAGCAGGAGAAGGGAACAAGCCAACACCTGGACAAATAGAGTTGCGTTTAATTCAAAGCTTGGATGATATTAGGAATCCAAAAATAGCATTTAAAGCTCATCTAGTAACAAATTGATTGGTGTCCAAATGAGAAGAAATAATCAGCCTTGTGCTCTTTTTACGTACTTCAGTGTTGCACTAGATATAATCCGGATGCAAGAGACTGTGTGGTCTGTTGACTGTAGCTGAACAAAGAAAGATTTGATCCGTTCTCTTCTAAGAGTTTAGCGACCATGAAATCGACAGCAGTGAGAACGCATTACTAATAAAATGAATCAGTCGCGTTCTTTCAAATTGTATCGCGATCATTCCAGCTCGCTCAATGTAGGCGATGATACCCGGAGTTGAATGGTTACAGCCGGGAACCTGATCTAAAAGTTAAAAAAATTGGTCACCGTGGTTTCACGTCCGTGAACGTAAAACGTAACAAAAGATCGCAAACGTTACAGTCAATTATAGGTAACAAATAGTAGCTTAAGGTGCGATGCAATTGTGCGACTGGTTGCTTTCTTGCTCATTAAACGGTTTTCATTATTGTCGCCGGTTTAAAAGAGTATGAGCTCAATATCGTCTTCTCTACTGAGAAGGTCACTGAGAGTGGACCCTTGTAAGCTTATTCGCTGGTAGCATGCAAACTACAGCCGTCTCTCCTGGCAACTCGCAACGCTCACTATTAAAGTTTGATTTGTTCTCGTGTTTCTACTCGATTGCTAAAACAGTGATGTGATGGTGCAGAAACGTCTCTTAAAAAGTTTTGAAAAATGAGTTTTGTATCATAAAAGGATACAAAACAAACGGAGCAAGGCAATCAATTTATGTGCGGATGCATTGCTATCATCAACAGCAAGCTGGACGAGCATACTTTTCATTGTACTTTTTGATGTTTGTGGATTTACCCTGTCAAATCACCTGTAGCCAGATATTAGACGCCCGTAGATTAATTATGATATATGCCCAAAAGTGGGGCTCCCGTTTAGTACTTTCATTTTACTTTAAAGTTTAAAATAATATCAACATATTGCGAAGGAATTCACAAACGTTTAGTTTAGTGTCGAGGCCGGTTTACTCGTTATGATTTTTCTGCCAAAACTTTCCTCTGCCGTTAGTGCGGTCTTTCTACCTACAAACTCATGGAGTATATTCTACAAGAAAAAAAAATTATCAATGTACTGTCAGTTTTACAGCCTGCCATTCATGCAAGCTGTGGCTAGCATGTACTAGCCCACAAGTCACAGGCCCTCATACACATGGTCCACCGGCTGGGCTCAAACGACAGACGGAAATAGCGCTACAATCAGGACTGTACTACCCTGCTAGCAGAGTCGCTTCGATCTTTCCTAGATAAGTCGGAAAAGAGGAAGTTCCTTCCTCTTCCCGACTTATTTAGGAAGATCGAAGGAGACTCTGTTCGCAGGGTAGGACTGTACTATTCGATTGTCGAAGAGCATTCGATCTAATTGACCACAGGATATTGATAAATTATGTAAAGGACGGACCATTAGAGAAGTTATGGGGGAGTGGAGAATTTTTGAGCCGCAGGAATTTTTTTTCGCTATCAAATTCCTTGTATGAATTTTTTTTTAGGCGATAGCATGAATATTTTTTAGGGTTAATTGGCGTGCATGAATTTGTTTGAATTTATTTTTTTTTGTACTTCGCCCCCCACCCATAAGTTTTATAATGGTCCGTCCCTAAATTGAGTTCTACCAACCAGAATAATCAACTGGATAATTGATTTTCTGTCCGGGTGTTCTTAGCGGATTAAGCTAGCTGAGGGATGTCACTCCAAGTGGGGCTCTGTCCCCTCTTGGGTCCCTCAGGGGACAAAGCTAGGGTCTTGGTTGTTCCTTATTTTGATCAATGATCTAAGTCTTAGTGGAAATTTCAACGCCCAGCTCTGGAAGTATGTCGATGACACGACAACGTCAGAAGTAGTTGCTAAGGGTGGTACGAGTAATGCACAACATATAGCAGACTGTGTATCCCAGTGGTCCTTAGATAATAGGGTTCAACTGAACAGCGAAAAGTGTAAAGAACTTAGAGGGCGCGATCCATTCAACCAAACTTCCGACCGGTCCGACCGGGAAAAGTGGTCCACCTCAAAAGGTGGACCCGCTTTTTCGAAACTTTTCCAGTTGGACCGAACCGATCCATTGAGTTTTGGACCGAAATTTCCGGAAACTTTGGTTGAATGGATCGCGCCCAGAATCATCCTTCACTAAAAAGCAGTCTGAGTTCCATCCTATTCTTGTAAATGGTAACCAACTTGAAGTAGATAGTTACAAGCGATTTATCCTGGAATGGGCACATTCACGAAACTGTAAAGAAGGCGTCTAAACGTTTGTATTTCCTAGTTCAGCGTAAACGGGCAAAACTTCCACGTAGGAACTTAGTCCTCTTTTATGCCACATGTATAAGATCAATCCTAGTTTATGTAGCGCCTGTTTTCTTTTATACTCTGCCCAAGTATTCACAGTGTGAGCGGGTCCAAAAAAAGGGCATTATCAATCATCTGCCCCAGTCTGTCTTATGACGAGGCACTTAATGAAGCTGGTATTTCAACAATTATTTCATATTGCGAGGACATATGTGACAAGGTTTTTAACGCTGCCCTCGGCAACAAGGATAACAAGCTTAATTAACAAGTTAAAAAAAATTAACTGAAGCCAATAGGGCTCCATATTTACTAAGAAATCACCGACACTTTGCACTTCCAAAGTGGAAGACGACGTGAAGACGGACCGTTTTAAGAACACTTTTATTTTGTCATCGTGCCTAAAGTACATTTAAATGATTCGGTTTGAATGCTTTTGTATATTGTATGCATGAATTTTTAATATTTTCAATATTGATGTATTGTAAATTATTCTATTTTTAGCTTAGTTTTATTTGTAAATACGCAATTAAGCCTCTGGCTGCCCATGTATTTATTTTCATAAACTATCTATCTATCTATCCATCTAAGTCATTTCAACTAGCCCCAAAACCCAATTTTCATTAGCAGGATTGATTACAATCCTTCTTTAAGTTGAATTTCCCCCCAAAACTGCACTTGCCCGTCGGGCAAGTTAAGAACAGAATTCACTAAGTATACCCCGATAGCAAAATCCACTAGCCCCGGGCTATCGAACACGACTTTCTTTGCACGCTGTACTTTTATGGTTGTAAATCAGGGCTTCTGTTGATCATACATTGTGGTTGACAACGAGAAGATTCTTTGGATATTTACTATTAAACTACATTGTTAATAATACCAGCTGTATAATATTGTTTGATGGTTCATGACCTTAGTGCAAAATAAAAAACAAAAGAACGTAACCCAGCACCGGAATGACTGATCTACGAAACTGAAGTTAAACGCACACTCTGCTGGCGCCAGGCATGCGATCAGATATGGATCGGAAACATGGACTAGTGCAACTTGGATTGCTAAAACATTGATTAAATAAAAACAATGGATTAATAAAACATGGATTAGTAAAACATCGGTTGATAAAACAGGTGTTATCCATCGATCCATGTTTTACTAATTCATGTTTTATAAATCCACGTTTTATCAATCCTTGTTTTACAAATCCAGTCCTTCTTTTACTAATCCAATCTTCCGGTACTTCCGGAAACGCGGCTCAGTTCACAAAACGCGTACGTTGCCAGCTGCAGGACAATACCTCGGAGAACCACGCTACAGAAACACGGAAAAGACGTGATGTACACACCAATATCGGGGCACTACCTTCGTTATTAGCTACCATCGTAGGGAGACATGTTATCAGACCAAGTACTAACTTTATTGGCGGCAGTTTTCGTCCTTTTTGGAGTTGTGGGTTGTATGGTGTTGGCCATGATTCTCAAATGTATAATAAACTTGGAGAGCGTTGTCTCGTTCAAAAATGCCACACGCAATCCGGCTCTGCAAGGCTTTCCACATCGGCGGGAACCGAAAGAAGACGATGACTACGGTCCGGATAACATTCGCGGAATATTATATAGGTCAGTAGAAAATTTTGCTAAGAGCTGCCAACAGTTTATAGGCTGCACTTACTTTTTTTTTTTTTGTGGGGGGGTGTCAAAAAGTCAAAGCGTTCTTGAGATGTTCTTATAATCAATAATGTGTCCGCCGTACTTTCTTTTCGAATCAATTACCGCTCAGGAGCCCTTTTCTCGAAAGTCCCGATAATTAACGGGCCCGGTAAGCTGTCTCCGTTTACATTAAAGATCGAGGTTTCAATAGTTTTGCATCTAACATGATAAAACTGTCAGTTAATGAAACAAAATGGAGTTGTTTGCTAGCCAGGATCCGCGCTCTTATTCTTTATATTCCGATTTTAATATTTGATTTCGGGCCCGTAAAGTTACCGGGACTTTCGAGATCATTTGATTTCCTTCTGCGGAGTTACTGATAATGCATAACTGACTAGTGTTTGGAACAATTTCTTGTATGTCAATGACTTTATTCAGTATAGAAACTATTTCACCCTGCATGATACAGTAATTCCTAATAGGCAGTTCTTTTAAAATGCTCAGCTTCCCTGACAGTGTTCAGTTCCCCCTTTGTCAGCCTCCACGTTCTAAAGAAAACGTCTCTGACATCAGTAAAAAAGGGTATTTATTGATATCCTCCTTCATCCGCCAATGGTATATAAAATCGCAGCTCGGTCGGCTTACCGGGAGGCATAAATACGTACATGTAAGTAGGGGAAGAATTTATTCTAACTCTTTAAGAAGAGGTTTTGTGTGGCAGAACTGACTGAGAACAGTTACTACTTTCACAGACCCTAAACTTTCCCTAGTTTTTGAAGCAGAAAAACCTTGAGAGCACTGCTGCGGCGCCGTGGTTGACTGATTAATTTACTACTTTTCCGTTCAAGCTTACAGACCTTTTAGCCTACCTTTGCTCGTCACAAACAAATGTATAGTTTTCGAAACCAGGAAAAAAAATAGGATTCGAAGCTAGCAAAATGCTTGAAAAGCTTTTTTGACAAATGCAAAATACTTCACCCTTCTTAACCCTTCTTTCTTAGAGAATTACAGTGATTATTGATCACAGCCATAAATCTTGTCTCTGCTGACATTTCTCCAGTAATACCGAGGCTTCTGTTAATACCTAATACTTCGATAATACTGAATTCTCTCGCACAAAAGGTTAACAGGGAGAACTCACTAAAACTGACCTGCCGTTTCTTAGAGCAATGTCTCTTCATGTATTCCGTCGTTGTTTGCGTATTTATTACAAGCACTTTCTTTTGAGTGTTCTGGTGGAAGCTAACGATATTGAACACGGTCTTCTTGTAACACTCCGTACATGTATAAGGAACTGAGATCAACACACCCTTTAAACTTTAACTGCGATGTTTTCATTTTGATGGAGCATGACTTATATAACTTATAAAACTGCTAAACGCGACATAAATTGATATACATGTATATAGAGTTAGTGCAGTTATTACAAGCAGTCACAGTTTTCGTGTGTAATATGCAAATTACAGCCCCTGAAACACGACTCAAATAAACAGTGGCAGGATAAAGTACACGCGAACACCGCTTTGCGGACACTCGCTTTATACAGACACCTCGTTATTACGGACAGTTCGGGACAGTTTTCCTTGTTCCTGAGGAAAACCCTTACATTTTTTCGAAATGCAACCGGGACGGCTGTTAATGCGGCCGACAACGGATTCTTGTTTCTTGCCCAGTCAATAGATTCTCATAGAAAGCCAACCTCGCTAATGTGGACACTTCTTTGAACTGTGTTCTGTAAGAAGACCTTTCCTTTTTAAGGTGAAAACCTTCAGTTAATAGCATGTCGGTCGTTCCCAGCGCTATAGGTTAGGAGGCCGAGATCCGTCTACACATCAAGTTCAGACTTATTATGCCGCCATCAAATAATTTATGCAGAGAACGGTTTTGATTGTATAGATGAGTGATTTTTGAGTGCTTGAGTGGATTTAGTACGCGAAATGACGGCTTTGTGAAGGTTAGAGATAATGATTTGACTATGCTATTAAATGTCCTGTTTTATTACTTTAGTATTTTGTTCCAGTAAAAGGTGTTTTTTTTACTTAATAACATCAGTAGCCTGCGCGCATACGAAATTAAACTCTGGTTAACCGTACTAATCAGAGTTTAGCTATCGTTACCCTGCGAGCAGTGGTTTCTCCAGGCCGGACTGCTCGCAGGGTAAGCTATCGTCTGCACGCAGGCTATAACATGACCCGTGCCACCCCGTGCCCATTAATATGAACATTTTCTATGACTATTTAAAAACAGGAAATAATGAGGTTGAAAGTTAATATTCTAATGTGGTATTTACTGCGGTTTGTTCCAGGGAATGAACAAAGTCTTAATTTCAGCTGTACGACATTTGAACTGGATGTGGCTCCGTCGATCGCAGAATTGAAATGATTGATAAATACGCAAAGGATGTCTGACAACAATGTTAAACGGCTGGACTTGATGAAGATGAAGCGCCTTTATGTTTTTTGTGCTGAGCGATCGAAGACATTTGTCACTTCTTCTATTGTTTTGTGTTTTTGTTTAGGTTTATAAAACGTGGTTTTGAATGCAGTTAGTGTATTTTAGGCTCTCAAAGTGTGGTTTTCGAAGTAGCTTTTTAATATGCAGTTTTGAACGCAGTTAGTGTATTTTAGGCTCTCAAAGTGTGGTTTTCGAAGTAGCTTTTTAATATGCAGTTTTGAACGCAGTTAGTGTATTTTAGGCTCTCAAAGTGTGGTTTTCGAAGTAGCTTTTTAATATGCAGTTTTGAACGCAGTTAGTGTATTTTAGGCTCTCAAAGTGTGGTTTTCGAAGTAGCTTTTTAATATGCAGTTTTGAACGCAGTTAGTGTATTTTAGGCTCTCAAAGTGTGGTTTTCGAAGTAGCTTTTTAATATGCAGTTTTGAACGCAGTTAGTGTATTTTAGGCTCTCAAAGTGTGGTTTTCGAAGTAGCTTTTTAATATGCAGTTTTGAACGCAGTTAGTGTATTTTAGGCTCTCAAAGTGTGGTTTTCGAAGTAGCTTTTTAATATGCAGTTTTGAACGCAGTTAGTGTATTTTAGGCTCTCAAAGTGTGGTTTTCGAAGTAGCTTTTTAATATGCAGTTTTGAACGCAGTTAGTGTATTTTAGGCTCTCAAAGTGTGGTTTTCGAAGTAGCTTTTTAATATGCAGTTTTGAACGCAGTTAGTGTATTTTAGGCTCTCAAAGTGTGGTTTTCGAAGTAGCTTTTTAATATGCAGTTTTGAACGCAGTTAGTGTATTTTAGGCTCTCAAAGTGTGGTTTTCGAAGTAGCTTTTTAATATGCAGTTTTGAACGCAGTTAGTGTATTTTAGGCTCTCAAAGTGTAATTTTCGAAGTAGCTTTTTAAGATGCAGGGCCCCTTTGGAGACCAGCCCTCGACTAGCCCTGAATGGGCCCGGCACCATGTTAAAATAAGATTTTGCTGTACTTTTTACTTTACAAACTTTGTGAAACTATTAGAGCGGTTTTCACTTGACTGTCGTAAAACCAAAACCAAAGTAAATACACTAGCCAACCAAAGGGCGTAGTAAAACCAAAACCAAAACCAAAACCAATCCCTTTCGACAGTCAAGTGAAAACCGCTCTAAACTATTAAACTGAAACCAAAACGTGTACCATCAAATAGCCGGACTGCTTCATTTGCAACATACGCGTATACTTAAAATTCCAGCTCGTAAATATTTGATTTGAAAAGTAAGACACTCAAGATTATAAATTTTACTCGCGGACTAAGTAAGGACAACAAATTGGACGTTTTTAAAAAAATAAAGCTGATACAATCATGACAGGCGAAAAAGTAGAAAAAGCCCTTCACTGCACTGAATTTCTAATAACCTGCGAGTTGCGAGTAGGGAAGTAAACGACAGCCGGAAACACGTGCGCGTTGGAGGACAAGTCAGCGTAAGTCTGCATTCTGCTGCAAATGCTGACAGGGCAGAAAATTCGCTGTATCATCACCAGTGCGCATTGCATGCTGGGTCGAGGACCGTGCATAAAATAAACAAGACCGGTTTTTGATACATGTAGGTATTGTAGCAAGAAGGGTTGAGGCCGTGAACATTAAGCGCTTGGTTGTTCTCTCGTTTTTGGTTCTCCTTTTCACAATTTTGGCATTTAGGAGATATAAAATGGTAGTAGCTCGTGGTGTAGATCGGATCGAAACATCGCGACAGATGAGAGAAGGAGGCGGATTTCTGATCCGAAGACCCATCGGAGATAAAATCAACCAGTGCGATCCATTCTTGTTGTTAGATCATATGGGTCCTGTTATTTACGGCCCTGGAGAGGCTGTTGGAGCTCCTGATCACCCTCATCGAGGATTTGAAACGGTCACCTATCTGATTGACGGTAAGAAAGAAAAATGGTTTCTTTTCTCGGCTGTGTTACTTAACGTACGTAAGCTTATTTGACAAGGTACTTAACTAATCAGCGGGGGACTCAAATAATGACATTGCAGAAAAGCCACGATTCATAAAAAAATATGAAAAGATCCCAGATCGAGCCCTGAGTTTTTCTCGCCTTAGAAGGCTTCGAGATTCCAACATTAAAGGAAGCTTTGTGAAATATAGTTAAGATTGTGATACCTACAGATCTGTTTCAAAATACAAACAAACAAAAAAAAAAACAAGACATTGAGCCCACCTGCTATTTAACTAAATTTTTGGAGAGAACATTTCTGACCCCTTACATTGACAGTGTACACGAGATATATAAAGTACAATGATTCCCAGTACGTTTGCACATAGTACATGTTTGACTGGTAAAAACCTTGTACTGACTTCCGTGATTATCTATTTTTATTCCTTAAAATGTTTCCATTTTTTTATCATAACACCAGCAGCACTTTATTTTGGCTTTCTCAGGAGAGATGAAACATCAAGACAGTGCTGGGAACAGTGGTGTTTTGAAACCAGGTTGGGTACAGTGGATGACTGCAGGGTCTGGTGTTGTGCACAGTGAAATGCCTTCAGATGAAGTTTTAAAGAAAGGTGGAAGATCAGAGGGATTCCAGCTTTGGGTTAACTTACCGGCAAAAGACAAGATGATTAAACCACGATACCAGGACACTGACGCTAAAAAAATTCCTGTAGTTACCAGCAAAGGTACTTGTACTGTTGAAATATTACTGTCTTGTATCTGACAAAGAATTTTTAGAATATTGACAACCCTCAGACCTGAAAACGCTTTAAGCCCCAATATCCACATACAAATTCTCCAAACTGGTCTTTATACATTTCCTTAAGGAATAAGTTGAGTGAATTTGGTAGAAGATCAAAGCATTATCTCTAAGGTGATCATTTTATTAACTCTCATAACCATTTCTCTTGGTAACATATGGATATTGTTAGGAGAAAATTGATCTTGGTCACTATCGGGACTTAAAGGGTTAATTCTCCAGACTGATCTTTATACATTTTCAGAATTAGTTGAGAGAATTTAATTACAGATCAAAGCATTTTTCTTTCAGTGATGATGTGATTAATTCTCATAAACGTTTCTCTTAACATTTTCTTGATATTGTTAGGGGAAAATTGATGTTGGTCATTTATGGGACGTAGAGGGATAAAAGAGTGCTTGTGAATCAAGAGTCACACTTGAGTCAACCAATGACCAGCTTGCTTGAACAAATGTGTTGTTTGTAAAAAATTTTCCATCGATATTAATGTCTTACTTGGACCTTGTAGAGTGGCTCTCTGACATAAGATATTGTATCATCCTCTTTTTACCTGTAGATGGAAAGACCAAAGTCAAGGTAATAGCTGGAGAGAGTTTGGGTGCAAAAGCTGTTATAGACACACGGACACCAATAATGTACCTGGATATCCACGTGCAGGCAGGTGGAACATTTGTTCAGGATGTTCCTGAGGAATATAATGGCTTTGCTTATGTTTGGAGGGGAAGTGGTTCATTCACTGAGGACAGAATCTCTGTTCAGATGGGAAAGGTAAAATTTTAAAAAACTGAAAAATCTACAGAGGTTTTTTGTCAAGTAGTTTCAGAGGGGGACTCCCATATGAAAGACTGACAGGGATGCTTGTTGTCTTACCCGGTGGTAGAAGTTGATGAATATGGTCTCACTTACGGTGTTCAGGGCAGAAAGCCCATATTTTTACCCATAACATGCATGGGTAAAGAAAGGTCTTACATAAAAAAAAACAAATGCTCTCATACTGTTTCAGAGTATAGTTCTAAATTTTCAAATTCAAAGAAAATCCTGTCTCTTTCTTAAGAAGTTCACCTCCCCCCCACCCCCCCAAGGAATAACTTGTATCTGCTCCCGATCAATCCACTTGTGTTATTGGTAAAGGTAACTGTAGAATAAGACTAATGATAAATAAAAGAAACTCCTGTATCATTGTTAGAATCTTGGACTGGACTGTTAATGAAAAGGATAATGACCTGCCATTGCACCATTATACCAAGTGAATAGCAAGTCTCAAGTTACATTACAAAGAATGCAGTAGTGATTCCTTGTCAATATAACACAAAAAACTTCACACAATAGAAGACATATAATGACACAATAGTTTGACTTCATCAGCTGGTATATTGAGCATAATGTACCCTGTTTAATATTGCTTGTCGATCTTTTATAAATGCAATTTATTGGTGATAAAGATCTATGTCAAACACAATTGGGGTGTATTAACGTAACGTACAGTTTATTAGTTTGCAATTAACTCTATCTTAAAGGACACCTCACTAAAATGAGACACCTAGAGTTGGTCCCTGCCTAATTCTTTAGTCTTTTTGTTAACTCTTTACAAAACAGACATCAGGGGCGGATCTAGGGGGAGGGTGCCGGGGGTGCACCCCCCCCCCCCCCCCCTACTCTTTCTTAAATGCACCCCCAATAAAAAGAGACCCATAGGGTGGGTCCCTCTCTTTTTCTTTTGTTTTTTTGTTAACTCTTAAAAAAAAAGACAAAGGGGGGGGGTTGGGGGGGGGGGGGGGGGGGGGGCCCCCCCCCCCCCCCCCTGAGATGACCTGCGGTTTTCTAATACAACTGGTATTCTGCAAAAAAAAAAAAAAACCTATGTGGTTTATTGGTGATGAAGTAGAGCAAGAGACGAGTGCACCCCCTCCTAAAAAAAATCCTGGATCCGCCCCTGGACATCTCTGTAAAATGACGGAAGACAGACACACAGTGCCTGCCAGTCCCATAGGTGTCCATTTCAGAGAGAGTTAATTGAACTGTCAATGCAATGGTTGAAATACATAATTACATAGTTAAATAAAATATTGATATTTTCTATGTTGTCACTTATTTAATCTTATGCTAATATCCTGCTACCAGGTTGCCTTGCTGGGAAAGGGAAACATGTTTCAAATTACTGCAAGTTCGGATGAAGACATTCATGTTCTGCTCATAGCAGGCGTGCCAATTAAGGAACCCCTTGCACGTCATGGACCATTTGTCATGAACACTTGGGAAGAAATAGAGCAATGCTTCAGCGACTACCATGCTGGAAAACTGGGCTCTATTGAAGGATCTGAAGAGCGCTATGCTAAAACAAAGAAAGCAGTCAGTAAACAGAAAGAAACAGGGTCATGGAATAATAAATAAATTGATTAATTGTTATGCATCATGTGCAAGTAGATAATAATCTGGGGCCGGTTGCTCGAAGCCTGGTTAGCGCTAACCGTTGGTTAAGAGGTATCAAAATGTATAGGTTTCCATAGTATTTAACGCTGGTTAGCACTAACCATGTTTCGAGCAACCCGGGCCTGGTGTTAGCGATCATTATTTTATCATTGGAAATAATCAAATTAGCCCAGCCAATTGATCATTGATTATAAACAGAAATCTCTAGTATATAAAAATTCCATTGTTTTGCACAAGTCAAAGTACATGCATGTAGTACAAACGTTGTTAGTTTTTTTTAACTTATACCACTGAGCTGAGAATTTCTGTGCCTTCGGGTTATGAAATTCTTTCTTGTTTAATTATAAGGCCATTATAAATCTACACACAAGTTTTTAATTTTTTTTTTTAATAGAAGATCTTAATTTGCCAAGAAGAATTTTTTTGCTGCAGCAATTGATTGAACATTTTCCATAAACAATCATTTGGTTGGTTAACGATTTTGATCAACGATAATAATGTAATGACCAGCTAGGCAGTGCACCACTGTATATATTCTATAGTACTGGAAGTTCTGTTACTTTTATGGAAGTCCTGTAAGACTATAATCAATGGGTGAAAGTATAGAAATATATTGTTTAGTCTCTGTACTAACTCAGTTGAACATAATTCCTATTTTCGTGTGCCTTTTTCTCCCTAGGGACACAATAAACTATTTATTGGGATGGAATATTCATAATAGGCCAGTTTCGATATAATCCAAGTTCAGCAAGAAAGCGAGTCTTAGAGGACACAAACAATGAACAGTAATAAACAATGAATTTCTCTTACCTGTATGAGTCCTCTAAGACCTCTAAGACCTAGTATTATGCTGAATTTTAAGTATAGAAAGTGAACTTTTTGCTTTTAGCTATTATTGAAAGTCATTGCAGGCAATGATGGCCTTCATTCTTACTATTTTTTTACACAATATTTAAAATTTTCAACGTTTTCACCCAAAAATGCCCCCTTAATTTTAATGAGCAGACCCCAGGTCTTTGGTGCTGGTGTATATTTTTTCACTCATGCGTACATCTTCGTAGTAACAGAGTGAATCATGTTTTGTTGTTGTTTAACTTAAATAAAAATGCTATTACTACACTGACTTTGCTTCTGTATTATTTATCCCTTAAATCCACTTCTGTTCTGTTTTCTCACAGAACCAAAAAAATGTATGTTTTTATCACAAACAAAACAAGTGGCTAACATTGTCAAATAACAACATATTGACAGTGTTAGTCACTTACTGTACCGTCAAACTGAGAAAACTGTGAACGATTGAAATATTTCAGGAATGTTTATTTTGTCATGAAGAAAAATCATAGAAAAGATCAGAACATGTGATCTAGCCACATAACCACCAATAATTCATGCCGTTGCCAGCAGTTCATTTTTCTCACACCTGATTGGCTTTTTTCTTGCAACACAATTACATATAGCTGCAGATACAATAAAGGTTGCTTTGGGCATTGGGTACTAGGAAGATATTGTTTGGAGGTCACTCAGGCAAATCATTACATTGTTCTGTATGCACAAAACCCAATAATTTGCAAATTCCTGCAATGCCCAAAGCAACCTTTACTGAATCAGCTATATTTCCAGAAATATTTCTGATGTTCACAGGTTTGACAAAACAGGCGACATTTTGCAATGCCAACACTGGTTTTCCTGCAAACTGTCATGAAGAGACACTACCTGGATCTGTGTGGTGCTTCAAATTGGTCTGCTGTGTCAGAAATTTACTTCAACCAATCCAAAGCACATCATATTTTCAGTCTACAGACCTCTCAAAATAGCAGTGTACTATTGCAGAGCAGTGCCAGTGTCTGTCAACAAGTTCAACATCCTGTTTTCATACAGTCCCTCTTACAAATCCACTCAATTAAATCCAATACAGTTCATTGATGAGTACCTTCTTCAGAAGGCTGGCCAAATGCCTATCATGTCTTGTTCTTATTTGGGAGTGTGGGATATTAGAAGGGGTGGTTATTTTAGTTTATAGCTTTTAGAGTTAGGGTGCAGCAGATTTGAAGGGGCAATGTGCTTTTATTTGGAGCTGGCAAAAATGGGCACTAAAATTACGGAAGCATTATATGACTAGCAATTTTCTCAAGGAAGATAAAACCCTAACGATGTAGCAGTAATAATCACAGCATTTTGTTGTTATAGATTACCATCAGCTTGCTATGTTGTTTACTTTGTGATGAATAATTTTTTTCAAGTGTATTCCAAAATTGTCTCCCATACTTTCAAAAAACGTTCAACTCCACAACTCTCGAAACAACCAGTGACTCTTCTCCACCTGCCTTTCCAAAACATTTTCTAGAAATAAAGGGATGTTATACATGTTATGCATGTTTGTATATGAAGCATTCAATTTATTCCTGAATAATTATAATTAATAATATTATATAAAATAATGTAGTTGTCAATATTTTCGTAAACTCCTGAGTCATGCTTGGATCACATTCGACAGTACTATTCTGTATAATATCATGTGATTTTATTGTGAATAAGCTAGCCAAGGACAGAACACTCCATGATGAGGTACTGACAAACAAACTTGCAATTTTGGGTTTTTTGTTGAATATAATAATAATAGCAATAGCATTAATGATAATAACTTTATTTGAGTCTCAGAGTTTCTAACTTGGCACAAGTGCCCTAGCTATTGGGGAGACGTTCATCAAGTTTATTTTTACAAAAGCAAGCAAGCTCATAAGGTCCATTACAAAAATAGTGTCTGAACATCTCCAGCCAATATTAATTACACATTGAATGGTACAAATTGATAACTACCATATATGAGCTTTGAACTTATTTTTCACCCTTTCCACTATCATTACAATCCAACTGTTAATAATAATAATAATAACAATAATAATAATAACAACAATAATAGTATTAATGGTGATAATAATAATATTAATAGGTACAGTGTAGTGTCTCTAACATGTTTGTGACTGTTCCACAATGTAATTGCACAGTAAAAGGAGGGTTATTGGAAGCGAAAAAGAACACATTTAACCCTTGTTCACTCGATGTCAACTCTTTCTTTAAAATGGACACCGAGACGGACACCTCCTAAAAAGAAGCCTAAAAGTTTCCTGCTATTACTATTCTTCAGTCATTACTTTCTTTTTTACATTCTACGAGGAAGACACTTTCAAGCGGAATACTTGATGATAGTCTTAATAGTGTCCATCTTACAGAGAACTGCTGGTATTTTAAGGACATTAATTTAATATCATCTGCAGGGACAGCAAAACTAGAGCATGCAAGCACAAATAGAATGAACTATATCTTTCAAAAACTGTAACTGTTGTGTGGAATCATGGTCACCAAGTAATTAGTTTAAAAATGTCTGAACTCACAATCCTCTTCATTAAAATCCTCAACCTAGTAAACAAAATTCAATTAAAATAGATTTTTAAATATGTGTATTTTTAAGTTCCATCACAAAGTCTTTAAGAATCCCTTACATGATCACCTGCAAGTACATTCATAAAACTTACTTCAACTTAACATCATCTTTAACATTGTGTCAGTACAGTCAATTATTAAAGCTCTCTTAATGGACTGCACCCTTAAGGAGCAACAGTTCTGTTTATGACCGCCTTAACAAAAGCCTGTTTGAACTCTCTGCTCTTACTCTTTCTGTAGGCAGCCACTTCCTTTCATTGACACTTTTTGTTAGCTCCCCAAGGGTGTCCGTCTGCTTAAGGGAACTTCTAGTAAAAATAATATCGAGCATTTGACACAGTGTTTCATCTGGTGATGAAACACTGTGTCAAATGCTCATCACCAGATGAAACACTGAGAAGAGAGTTGAAAATACAACACGCAGAATAGTATTTTTGACAAACTTTGAGGTGTTACATCTAGTGATGTAACACTGTGTTAAATGCTTGATATTACTTCTCAAACAAAATGATTTTAGAAGGCAAAATTGAGCACGCAAAAATGAGCAGTTCTTCATCTAATTTTCAAACACTCCTTAAACATTAATTTCCTTTGTATATTCTTTATGAATTATTAATGACTTTGAGAACCATAATTATTAATCTTTACAATAACAGAGTACTACAATACAGTCAAACTAGTGTTAAGCGAGCCTGTTTTAATGGTCACCTTCTGTTAAGCACTGTTGCTAACATTCCTTCATGTTACTTTTCAATGACCACTCTCACCCCTTAACACAGGTTTGATTGTACAACAAGTCTAACAATAAAAATATATTTTGTCGAATATTTAAGTACCTAACAACATAGTGAACAGAGACCTGTCCAGAGACTTGCATAAAGTAACCTTGTTCTACAAAATTGGTGTAATCAATCAGAACAACTGCAATAATACTGTTTAAATTGAAACCTCAACATCCACACCTCATGGCAAGTGCCAAAATATGTCTTTCCAGCAGTCTAATCATCACATGGGAAGGTGGAGGATTTTGCGATGGATCTGTAAGATTTGACTATGATTTCCATACCAATAGAGTTCTGCAATGGTTACATTGTCCAAAAAGGGCAATCAAATTAAATATGTCAGGTAAAAAGTTAATTTTACTGGGATCAAAGTAATTTTGATTCTGTTAAAATGAACTATTTCTTTACAGCACTTAATACTTTCACCTAACAGAGGGTAATAAAAACAAAACAGGTTCTATACATAAATGTTTTAAGGACATGAGAGGTGGAAGCAAAATGGAGTTTTAATTTGACAGGATAATCAAAAGGAGCAAGATTAAGGAGAATTTCTGTCTTTTGGAGGGTAATTTCAGGGTTAATTTTCTACATTATATTTTGAAATCTATATCAATTTGTTGAAAAAGTAGAACACTTTTCTGTACATTATTTGTTAACACATGTATGACTCTGTAAAAAAGTGATACAAAAACGTGTCATGAAATCTTTTTAGCAACAAGGTATTATTTTTTTCACATGGAAGCAGTACGGTTTAAAACTGCTGCAGCAATTCAGTGTTTATAAGGATGTCCATGATTAAACTGAATTACTGGAGGTATTCAAAATTGAGTACAAAGAGTTACTCATCTTCCCCGTCAGACCATTCTGAACCTGTCTCACTTTCATCCTCACTAGATGAGTACTCCACAGCAATCCGTCGAGCCAAAATTGATGCTACATCCTGAGCAAAACCATTTGAGCCACTGTGCTGCTCCTTCCGTGCCTCCTGCACTTGCACCTTTCGCAGCTCCATGCCGCGCCTGATTGCCGACAACAAGTCACTTCTTGCGTCGACCTGTTCCTTAGGTGGTAGGGGTGTTTCACCACTTTGAACACTGATGCTTGACTCTGAGGTTGAGTTTGTTAAAGAAGTCGATGATGGTGAGACCACAGGTTGGGATCCATCAGAAGACTGTGATGTGGAATTCTTGAAACCCTGCATCCCCCCCTGACCAGGCAATGGTGGAGGGGGTGGAGGAGGCGGTGGTGCAGGTACTGCAGCACTTGGCAGTACAGGTAACACAGGAACACCATGAGATGAAACAGAATCACTGCGAGGAATATTCTTCCCTATTCCAGGGACTGGAGGGGGAGGAGGTGCCACATTTGGCCGATGTATATTGCTACCGGTGTACTTTCTAGATTGCCTCCTCTGGGCAGGAGAACCTGATTTCCCTCTTTCGGCATCAGGTTGTATAAGATGATTAGGGGGCACACCATCTGGAATACCCCCATTAGGTTGTTTAGCATATTCAACATCACTGATTTCAACATTCTCTGTCACGGCAGTGGGTGAAGTAGGTGTTGTTGGAGAACTGCTGATGACTGGGGTTTTAAACTCTTCCCCTTGAGCACAATAGACTTTTTTCTTAACTGCCTTGACTACTTTCTTTTCACCTGTTTGCGCTCTCATCCGGCCAGCTCTCTATGTAATCAATAGAGACAAGAGAAATGGTCACAAAAAGATGTCATAAATCGGTAGATCCATGAATAACACTCACTAAGTGTGTCAAATACATGTAAAGCTACAAATCTCTTGAGTAAGAAGAAAAATATTTTTCTGGCTAAAATTATGGCAGAAGTCACCAAGGCCAGTAGTTCACAGCAAGCATTCCATCTTGGACTTGGTGCAGCTTTCTGGGCCCACATGACAATCTGACTGAACACCAATTAAGAGGTAAGAGTCCTCTTTGGTACAATCAGAGCTTGGCTCAAATGTAATTAAAAATTTTATTGATATAATAAGAGTACCGTATTTCCTCAAATAATAGCCGTCCCTTGATTAATTGCCTCCCTCAAATAATCCCCCCTTACCTCCTTTGATAATCACCTCCCAGTCCTCTTGTTATCTTTTTTTTTTACCCCCTCCTTGTCAAGTTAAAATAAATTGACACCTTGGATAAAAAACAGGCTTTCAATTAATTGCTGATTGTTTGCAACTGAAAGCGTTACAAAACTGCTCACTGACTATTCAAGCTCTGACGGTGAGGATATTGACATATTGATGTGATTATTAAATTTTTTTAACTGGAAATACGTGAATTGCAGGACCTTGCGTAGCACTTTGGGTAGCCTGCGAACGGCAGACGTTTCTCCTCGCTCATCGCCGCTGAGGAACGTTTCGCGAGGAGGAACGTCTGCGACTCAGCAACAGAAATTCCATACTGATGACGTAAAATCTGTCCGGAATCCAGTCAGAAGCACTAATTGTTTGACAGAGTAGATTCATTGTTTTAGCTATTGTTTACAAATGACAGACAAAAGACAAAAGGCCGCAAAGATCAAATGTAAACGCGATGAACCTCTAACAAAACAGTCAATATTTGTGTAATATAGTCTTCTCTAAAAGTAGCATTTGAGTTTTGCTCCAGCTCATTCGCAGATGAACACAACACTTCACCAAAATCAACCAGGAGAAATGTAAAATTGGACAAATTTGCATTGGAACCCCATGACTACCGGATTTATTTATGTAAACACTGATTTACGTCATCAGTATGGAATTTCTGTCGCTGAGTTGCAGACGTTCCTCCTCGCGAAACGTCCCTCAGCGGCAATGAGCGAGGAGAAACGTCTGTGGTTCGCAGGCTACACTTCGGGGGAACGGCAAGAAGTGGGAAGAAAAGGTAATAAGGCAAAAGGGAAGAAAATTTATAAATAAGAAACTTAAGCTATGTACAGAAACAAAACAAAACTACAATGACAAAGAAAAAACTAAACGAAAAGGAAGAAAAGAAAAAGAAACACAGCTTATGCCTGGAATCAAACTCAGGACCTTGTATGTACCAAGCTGTTTTGTTACCACCACGCCACATGGAAACATACTATGAAGGACATGATAATGTTTTATTTAGAGCCTTTCCCCTAGAATTTTGCCACGGTGCCTTGTGTAAAGTTGACCGAGCCAAATTCAACACAAATTCAAAGACATTTTTGAGGAGAATGACTGCTGTTTTGACGGTAACAAACTCAACTTAAACGCATGTCATCACATTTAAAGAACAGATGCCCAACTAAGCCGATATGGTATAAACTTGTCTGCGAGCTAAACATGTGTTTTGTTACCTCCATTTTCGCTCATATCTTAAGGCTTATGATCCAAATCGCTTCTGTTTGCTCTTAAAAGTATTTTTGCCTTCGAAATCCATTGCAAAAAGCAACAAGGCACTCTTGGGTGTTCGCCTGGAAACACAAAATGCTCTGGGACACCACACGCTAGATGACGTCAGGGCAGAGACCAAGCAATATAATTATAGATTCATAAACAGAAAAATAGAAATATGGGGCATCCAAGTTTGCAGCTGGCTAACAACAAGTGCGGTGCATGCGTGACAGGATTATAAACTCTGTTCGTGAGAAATAAGTAATGCAACAATAAAACAAAATCAACTTTCAGTAAGCAATAGTTGAAATCATGAACTCTCTCGAATAATCACCCCTTTTTAATGCACAAAAAAAAACAAATCACCCTTCGGCAATTAATTGAGGAAATATGGTGGTCAATTTAAAAACCTTACAAGTCCACTGATTAAAGTTGTCTATTCAGTGAGAGTTAAGGTCAAGCACTGACTATTAGTATTACATTTCCATATCACTCACCCTCTTCTTTTTCTTCTTCTCTGTTTCTTTTCTCATCTCTTCACACCAAAGCTCAAAGAAGTACGTAGGATCTGTGTAAAATTTGAGGGCATCTTTCTTGTCATCTCTGTAGGGGTTCATATCCTGAAGACGAGGTGGTTTATCACAATCTTGATATCTCTCCTTCATAGCTGATGGAAGAGTACTGCTTGCTAATACCTGTTGATCTGTTACTATGGTGCTCTTGAATGCTTTCCGCATGTTAATATCTTGTAATGAAACTGAGGAGTGAATACATGCAAAAAGTTAGTGACAGGACTTAAAAATGTGACCAGTAAGTAAAAGTCAACCATGGCAAATAGAAATTCTGCTTTTTAATTTTTAAACAATCTGTTTTAAAAGATACAGTGTACAAGATGCAAAGGTGTTGTTTGATGTGGCGTGCAATTGTGTTTTAGAGCGTTGTAAGCTTCAAAACCTGAAAAATTTACAAAGAAGAGAGTTAGCTTAGAGATATTGGCAAATGGTAAGTACGCTTTTGAAATTCAACCGACCGTATCTGGATCATTAATAAATTATTATTATTTTCCAGCAACAATGGTTGATGTCAGCTAACGTGAAAGAGATGACTGTCAAGTCCATTTCTGTTGTAATTTCACTCTAAACTTCGCTAATGCAAGATCAATGTAAATCAGTACGCGTTTCTGCTGATTTTTATGGCAAATACCAAAGCGATGACAAGGCAAAGCACAACATTTGTTTTAATGACATTTCCCATTTCCGGTGTTTGGTAACGATGCATGAATTAAATTTTGAATTTACATTGCAGACATGACAGGCCACTCACGTGTCCAGCCATCTCTTCTTGGGGAGGACCTAGAGAGCGGCAGAAATTGAGCCTACAGGTTTAGCAAAGAAATAACAATGGTAGTAATCTTGCAAATTAATCGGTATAGCCTAATTTCTTGTATAGTAATAATATTATCATGATATCTTTTCCAAATATCAATATTTGTTATATTCCTAGAAACAGGGACAGCAATTGGCTGATTCTTGGTCACGTGTCCTTGACTAAAATCAAATGTTTTCCCGATCGTGATACATTAAGTAATGTACCCCACTCAGGATACATTACAGCATGTGATCAAAGCATGGTGGAAAGTGGCGTGACAGAAGGTGAGAAAAACACTGCCAGTTTTCATTTTCGTGAATGAACACAACAACACCAACATGAAGCCTCAAGCTAAAAAGCAACGATTTTCAAAGTTATCCCAGAAGAGAAACAGCAGCTAGTAGAAGAAAAAGATGATAATATGAGGAAAGTACTTTGTAAATCATTTAATCAGTGGTTTTGAGAATTAAATTTGTGTTTAAGTACCGAGTGCACTGTTTTGATTTGCTCTGCTTGAGTGTATTCTTTTGTTGAAGTATTCTTTTCAACTCAGGAAACATCAGGACTCTCGGGCAAACAAAACTACCTGTTTCCCTCGGGATCTGACATTAAGTGTGTAATGTATCATGAGAATAAATACCTCGATTCTCTGATGTCACAATGTATTTTTGAAGCCCTAGCAAACCCTTTTCAAAAATACCAAAAAACATTTTTCCTAGTCAAAGCAGTGCAGCACTATAAATGACACATCCCTATCTTGCATTTTGAGAGCATCATTTCGAAGAAAATCTAGCATTTTTGCCAGTTGCTTACAGGAGATTCTGTTATAGTAGAGGTTTCACATGAATGATCTTGCCCTCCAATAAGGGTCACAGACTTCAAATGACTCTTCAATGATTCATAATTAAATTTAAAAACACTTTTGTAATCACCTTATACTGATTATATCAGGATTAATTTAGTTTTTCCAGGGATAATACAGTATAACTGATTACCCTGAAATTTCAGTATTCATAGTTTGAAGGCACAATTTTACAGAGGCATTGTGTTATCAACCATTTCCTCCTCAATTTAACACAGTGCGATTTACAACAAAATATTTTTTATCATCAACTGGCACTGTAACGTTACCATAACAAGCCACTAACAAGCCCTCTAGGATTTTAACTAATCTTAGAGATTGCAGGCTTTTCAGTTTGACTGAATGCACAAGGATGAAAGCCTTACTCAAAGGATACACAGAATCACGCGCAATATCTCAAACAAACGGTCTCGTCTACAAGTAGCTCACTAAGAAGTCCTTCGTTAATTATAAAAACAACAGGCAATGATTATTGAACTGTAAATTGTAGTAACTAACGCATTTTCTGAAAAAAAAAAACCGGCAAAACAAACACACACACCAATAAATGAAGCTTCTACTGCAGCAGAGATTTTGATCTAAAATTTTTGACTGTGGGAGAAAATTTTAAACTTCTTCGTGAAAGCAATAATAAACTATCACTACTTTGTTTTCATTTGAAACACGAATATAAAGAGAAATTAAATCACAGCATTTAAGTTCAATGTTTCCGTCTAACAAAGAATTTTAAGTTTAACAACCCGATGTATTCGATAACAGCACATCAATCTGTCTAAACAGGCTGCAAAAATTCAACAAATTTCGCTCAGGAATGCATAGTTTCCAAAGTATATACTATAAGCTTAAATGGTCACTTACGTTCTTCAACATTTGAATCTAGTTGAGTCACCTTCTGCGACAAATTCTGAATTCTTTCTTGAAGAGAGTTCGTTCTCTGAAAAATACTGTTTGTCTCGGCACACAACTCTCCAAAGAGATCCTCAGCATGCTTAGAAATGCTGCTAAGCTGCCGCATTATCCCGCATAAAGTGTTCACAGAGACAGCTTCGAGTTCATTCTTCAGCCCGCCCGCTAGCTGTCCGCGACTTAGTTCGATCGGATGCACGGGCCGCTTTATGAGCGGCATGGTTGATTACCAGGTCAACCAACACCGTCTATAAAAATCCGAGATCCCAGCGTGTTTCACTCCACCTCCGGTTGATGCTAAGATGGTCGTAAAATTAGTAAATTCAGAAATTACCACACATTGATTCACTTCCACCCTCGCTCAAACACCCAACATGGCGACTTCCTCTTGCCCACAATTCTCTGTGGGCGAGTCGTTTTGTCGGAAAACTTCGGGCACGACGACTTTTAAACGAGAGAGGGCACAGGTTACCCAAGATCTTCTCTGCTTCAAGGCTAAGCTAAAAAGGTCTCTACTTTCAAGATATTATCGATGCGATGTCAATTTACTAAACTTTTTGAAAATTTACTAAAAAATCTCTAAGTGTTTGAAAACTGAAACTGGTGTTATCTTCGGCGTCATTTGCCCAGAATAACTTTAATCGAGCGTGAAGTGTTTTCAACGAAAATTCAATTCAATTTTATCTACTCACAAGCACACGCAAAGAGGCTCTATATTTTGAGAAAGACAAAACAAAAAAATACGTCAGCAAATCATTTTTTAACAATTCGTGACAAAAAAAATAAGTCTTTAAGTCTGGTTTATTAATAAAATCGTCGTGCTTAGAAATAAGCGAATTGCGAAATTATTTTACAAAGATATAGATATTAATTTTTTAAAAAAATTTCAATTTAAACTAATTACATCGTGTTCAAAATGGACTGGGCCTTACAATTATAAGAAGATATAATATAATAAATTAGATAACAAACTAGAAACTAGAAATATATATCAAGTTATAGATTGAATTCCCATAAGTTCCTAAATTACATGCCATGAGCATAAAGGCACATCGCCGGAAAAAAAGCTTCGTTTAAAGCGTTCAGTTTTGCAACTTATATAAGGGATGGTCGGTCTTTGTTGCGAAGGGAGCGGCCTTGCGCCTGCGACCGAATCGGTGAAACAAGATGGCGAAGACGGGACTCGGGCTCTTTTATCTTTGTAAATAATTTGCTACACAACTCCATTCTTCTTGTGTGAAGTGATACACCGTGGCCGGTAGTAGCTAAGGCTTCTTGGTAGTGCAGTGCAGGAAAGATGATGCGCAGCGCCCGTTTCTGCACTCGCTCGATGCTATCTGATAGTTTGACGGGGAGGGCATTATGCCACACAGGACAACAGTATTCAAGAGGACAGACCTAATGAGCGCAAAATAAACCTTAAGTAGGTCGGCAGGTGGTACTCCGCCGCGTTTGAGGACACGTAGAATATGCAGCCTCTTTGACACCCTAGCAACACCCTCAAAAGAAAGACGCCTAAAACAGGTGTTTGACTGCGGTCGACCCAGAGCCCACACAAACTCTCTTCTATCTGGATACGCTCGGGTGAGCGTCTGATGTTACAACGGTCACACAATTTGTGTGGGCACCCTTCAGTAAAGTTTTAGGTTTTATTTCGCACATACGCACAAAAACAACAACGACAACAAGAACAGCAATAATACACTCTTAAAATAATTCTACTGCATGCCGTGGTTCCGCCGACACCACCATCTGGGCTGGGTCCTACGGCATTACAGTCCGCCCAATGCACAATTTAGTAGGTTAAGCGATAACCACTTTCAGTCTACCATCTGCGGCACAGCACTCCATCTTGAAAGAAAAGGAAATCCCACTGAGCTCTAGCCTCCATTTGATTAACAGCTTGAGCCCTTGCAACTTCGCCGAACAGTCACTTCTAGGGGAGGGCAGCGAGAGAGACGGAAATCGAGCCTGCATCCGCAAGGATTTAAAATGTAGGGGATCAATAGCACACTATTTCAGGTCAGGGTCTGCTAACTGTTAGTCTGTTACACAGCCGTTTTTAGTGTCCTCACGCAAAGCTCCTCCACGACCCTATCAACGGCTGTGTAGCAGACTAGCTAGCTGTTGGTGTTCGAGATACGCCAGTGAACACGTAGGCTTTCCTCTCAGAGGAAATCTTTGCTCTTCTCTCTATTGGGTCAGTGCCTTCTTGATACGCATAACAAACTCTGCACGGACTGTGTTCCCACTTAATGATTCAGTACAGGTTCCTTCGTTTTCCCAGCGGTTCTCACAGTTCCTCACAGGGCCTTCGGGATAAATCATTAGCGTTTGCCAGCCGTTGCCTTCACGGTAGACAATTAACCTCTTTAGCTTCTTGCAAATTCCCTGAGACCTTCATTAGGAAAACAAAACAAACAAGCTAAAGAGGTCGGTTTCAAAGTTAAAAGGGGCCGTAAATCATTGTGAGATTCAGTGAGCCAACAGTCCCTCAGGGACTTTCGCTTCAAGTACAGATCTTAGTAGCCCATGATCCTTTTGAACTTGGACCTTGCCACCTGGAAGGTTATGTCGATGCAGTATGGAGAATTCTTCAATGGTCAACCACGGTTTCAGCCTCGTGGTAGAGTAATTTCTCTCAGATTTTGAAAGAATCCTACTCTAGCAAGTTATTGGCTTCTCAACTCAAGCCTAAGAGCACATCCCCGATACCGGGGTTTCCTTCGTCAGTATCTAGAATAAAGAGGCCATCCACTTCATGTTCAGGATAAGCCAGAATAGGAGAAGAGGTAAGCAGGTCCTTAAGATTATCAAACGCTTGCTGACATGTCTCTAATCCACGGCAGTGGGTTTCGTACGTTTGTAGAATTTCCTTTCCAAATTAGCAAATCCTGTGACAAAATGCCGCTAATAGGAGGCCAACCCAAGAAATCTCCTGGCTTCCTTTGAACTTTCAGGAAGTGGAAGTTTGTAACAGGCTCATCTTCTCTGGGTCTGTTGATGTTCCCGGCCTGTTCAGTTATGTACCCTAAGTAAGAAATCTTACGCCAGAACAGATGATGGTTGGTTTGAATTTAAGGCCTGCTGAATTGCATCAGCACCTTCTCTAAGCGCTGAACATTTTGATGACATCATTGAAAGAAGACAGGCAAATTTTGAATTGCAACCCCCAAAGACCAAGGTTACGTTATCAATCGCCCAATGTTCCTGGTGAGTTTATTAACCCAAATGGCATGCAATTGCATTTCTTATAGTCCACCGTCTGTGCAGAATATAGCTTAACGCTTGGTAGACCTTGCAATGCCAACCTGCCAATACCCGGATGCCACGTCAAGGGTCGAGAATCAGCTAGTACCTGATGGACAATCTAGGAAGTCATCTAAACGTGGTAGGGAAATTGCATCCTTTACTGTTACAGAATCTAATTGACGATGGTCCAGACAAAGCTTTTTACTCGCCTCTTTCTTGGTAACCAAGATCACTGGAGAAAACCATGGGCTTTATGTCCCTGTCGTGCTCGCTTTCCCATTACAGGGAAGACCTTTGCCGAATAGGTGTGGCACTGCCTGTATTAATGTTATACTGTACTTTGTTGGTTGCTCCCAGGTCCCAATCACTCTTTGAAAACACGTGCTGGTACTTGGTCAACTGTTCTTGTTCCTCGTGCAGGTCAACAGAGCTGTTTCTAATCAGGGCCTTCAGTGAGGGTCATTCCATTTATCATAGACCTTCCTCCGTTAACGAATTACCTTGAAATTTTCCTAACCCTCAGAAAAATGCTCTTTTTCTCCGAAAGAACTAAAAAACATGCATATATCTCCTCAGGAAATGTGCCTGACTTGCCTAACCGCTTAAAAAAGTTTTGCTTTCTGCTACTTCCCGCATACTCTTTATGAGTGTTAAACAAACCAAGCATCATGCCCTCCGGCCACATTCGAAAAGCCCTGAAAAAGAAGAGCTGGCTATCGCGGAAAATAACTATGGTCTGACAGTTGTCGATTCATATTCAGGTATCTATATTAAAAACATGTTAGTAGCGCGCGTAGACAGTTTCGCTCAGGGCGGATAAAGGCTGGGCGGTGAAACGAGCCCGTCCGAGCAAAAAGGTGTGGTGCAGTGGACTGGGACTCTGCTTAGAAATGTCGCTTGTTTTCGACTTCGGTCAGGGCTTGCGATGTGGTTTGTACATTAGACACTGCCGCTGTCACTGAATTATGGCAGCTTGATTTGTTTTCTTGCACTTCTTCCTCGTTCCTTTGTGCAGGTACGCTGTCTCCGAGAGGCAAACGTTGCTATTTTTTGCGGGAGGTTTAGTTGGAGTAGACAAACATCACTTTCAAAGGGTTTCTTTTCTTACGTCCATGACTCTACCACTTAATTATTTTTTTTCGTTCTGCTACTCGCCAATGTCGATGTTATTCCAAAACGAAAGCAACTAAGTACTGTTTAAAACACGAAGGAAAATCTCATCCATGTCATCCATGGCAAAACTAATCGTGCTTTATAACTAGATGACGTGTATTTTATAAACGCGTGAAGCTCGTGCAAGGTGAAATTATGCTAATTTCAATCACCATCATCCTTCTTTTTAATTTTGAAAAAAACATCTCATACGTCTTTCTGGTTCTTCGAAACTTCAAAGTTAGTTTTCCCTCAGTTTTTACTGTTTATCTTGTTTTGTTTTAGAGAGAAAAAAGGAGGAAAAACCTTACAACTAACCTCACTAAATTTTGTTTACATGCGGTTGCCGGATTTGCAACGCATTGCGCGAATCGCCATGGCGCGTTGCACCCGAGAAGCAAAGTTTGAAGAAGTACAACGCCACTATATCAATATATATCAATCTAATTTTTTGTTATGTTGTATAAAATTTATCCCCCTTTAACATATGTAAAAATTGAGGTTAAGAAGTGTTAAGCTTTTGCAAACGAAACGGCGAAAGACGATTAGGTGATATTTAGTGGAAGTAGGAGGTATTCAACACTTTCAAATTAAACTCAAATTTTGGCATTATACGACCAACAAGTTTGACTTATAGACGTACAGACACAAACATATGAAACTGTTTATTGATATTGTTATGAAACGAATTTATCTATTTAACATTGTGGCCTAAAATTACAGAAAGAAAATAGGATTTCCGGTTTGCAAAAAGGAAAATTTCGCCGGCCTTCAAGCGCGCCGGAAGCGCGGAAAGAGCGCTCGTGCCAGTCCTACTCCGCATCACACATTAAATGAAGAGCGGAGCGCTCGTTTCACCGCCTAACCTTTATCCGCCCTGGTTTCGATTATGTTAAAAACCGTTCGAACTGTACAACTGTCCCAAGACTTTTGTCCATGATTGTAGGGCCGGAGGCTCAGGCCCCCTCCCTATTTTTAAGCCAAACTGGAGCCGGTAGGGCCCCCCTTGTTTCTTAGGGTCTGCATCAGCGCCCCCATTTACTTGAATATCTGAATCCACCACTGATTTGACAACGACATTTCCAGTCAGAAGATAAGGCCACACAGCTTGTTCATTCAAATGAAGCGTCCTGAGACTATTCGATCTTGATTTGGGTAAGAAATTACCGAGGATAAGGCCTCAGGTTATTCGATCTTAGTTGATTTGGAAACGAAATTAACGGGGCAGTTAGAGGATAAGGCCTCTTGATTGTTCATTCAAAATAAGGAGACCTAAGACTCTTTAATCTTGATTTATTTGTAGAGAATATATTATAATTATGATCATTTACATCAATAGATTCTCACTATTTTAAAGCATCCGTATGTATGATTCCATTTAAAATAATTGTGACATGGACGTAGACATTTGGCGATTTTTCCAAATTCTGTGATTTCTACCTCGTCAAAAAATTAACAGATCATTTTTGCTCAAGTGACTGCAAAGAGTTCAACACTTAATACTAAACTAGACTATCGAACAATGTCTACTCTCTGTAACCGAAATATACGATTAAAAAGGGTTGAAATCGGCTTGTGGTGAAAGGTTAAATTTCTAGAGATAAAAAACTAACTTTAAACCCCTGATAACTCTTATAAATTAAAAATTCTCTTATTTTGCTCAAAACGTTTATTTTTGACTTAAGAAGAGCAAAACTAGGCATCTAATTCATCTCTTGAAAAAATAACACATTTCTCTCTTGCATACTAAGAAGCATTATTAATAATTTTTAATCAGCAGAACATAATTATTGAGTAGGCCAGGGGTAAGTGGACGGCATGTAAGACATGTAATCTGGAGCGTACAGGTTATTTTTCACCAGTTGTTCTTTGTCTCTGGGTTCCGGGTGTATGGTGGCCAACCTAGTGGAAAAAGCCAACTTGACGACATCCACGGCTATGTTATATGAGACTTCCCTGATATCCGACAGAGGCGGGTAAAGACAGCCTTTCTCTAACTGTGATGGAGCTACCTGGCCAGCAAGAGACTAGGGAGGTAAAAACTTCAGTTAATTATCTATTACTCAATGCATTTGTGTTAATCCTCTTTATTATTTAACACTGGTCAATGAAATACCAGGTGAGCTTCCGCGAAAACATGATATCTTCACACGTAAAAGTAACATGTTATTTCACATGTGAAACGATCACCGTTGCTATGGCCGCATAACAAATCGCGACTTTTGCAGCAAAAAAACATTTAAGCGAAATGGTTTGGAATTTCATTGGTGTTTATATAATAAATATAACATTACATGGCCGCTTGGAGATACGAAATTTCTCTTGGCGATTTTTCAACACTCCAGGAGAAATTTCGTATCTACGCGCGGCCATGTAATATCCTCTATATATCCCCTTTTAACAGCAGGAAAGATTTACCTACTCCTCCTTCCCCGTAAGGCCGTAACCGCTATCTTAAGCTCACCTTTGTACGGGTTCACCCCCATGTAATTGCTCTTGTCCAAAACAAGCAATACACGTACAGTACAGCAGCCCCAAATTTTTACTTTCTTTGTCGTTGCTCGAGTAGCACGCACCCAGTGGGCAATTACACAGCTTTTACAACAAGCATTATTGCGTTCTACGTAAAGAGAACGCAAGACTACTCTGTTGGGTTTTCCTGTGGCTCGCTTGGTGTCAAGTACGCGAAACCTCTAAGGAAGTTGTCGTTGTGCCATGTCGCTGAGTGCCATTTAACTTTCAGTAATACACGTTTAATATACGGTATGATACTGCGGCGTTATGAAAATCTCAAACAAATTTCATCAGAGAGCAACCACGACAATTTTTTGGTGATTTTAGCAGGCATTGCATAAACTTGAAAAAGTTGACCCAACCTTTTCAAGTTTCAATTTATCTCTATCCTTACCTCCGTTGCAATATGCGACTGGAAGTAGTTTCAATGCCAAAATATATTCATAGAGAACAAAACTGAACAATTTTTGTGGAATTGGTGTTCGGCTTTGCCCAGCTTTACAGCTCATGTATAGGCACACGTTTCATACCTCGGCAGCAAGAAGGAACATCTCATCGGTTACATGTTGAGCTTTGCAGGATATAACTCCTAGGGCGACACCCGGGAAGATGTAAGAATTGTTTCCTTGCCCTGGTATGAAGTGACGACCATCAGGTAGAGTTACTGGTGCAAAAGGACTGCCACTAGCATACACAGCCTTACCCTGAGAAAGAGGAAAAACGACACCCTGTGGATTGTGGAGCTTCCATTCAGGAGACACACAAGGGACCAGGATAAGTGTCTCTTGGATAGAGTTGTCTTTTCACTAGAGGTGACCGGTACAACGAGTATACATAGCAATCCCGATTTTTCGAGTCACCTTGGGAAAGGTAAATTGATTCGAATTATCAGGAGGTTTGAAAAATCATAGTGTTGGCTGGTTTAGCGAAGTTGGGTTTGGTTCAAATTGGCGTGAATTTCGAAAAACCGAGTGCGACTTTCCATAAAGCAGGTTGTTTTCCCCTAAAATTTAACTTGAGTTTTCTTTCCAGTTTCTCAAGGCCGATTGTTAGTCCCACGATAAATTGAAAACAATTATTGTGCAAAACTTTGTGGCGCAAACACATTGAGATATGGGAACGTGAAAGTTGCAAATAACCGTCTAAATTCTTGTACGGGAAAGGCGTGGTTGCATGCGTGCGTGGTAGCTGGGAAACGCCCTTTGGGATTTTCTAAAGTAGCCCTCTGTGCATGGACAAATGGTAAAACCACTGAAAAAGTTTAAGTTCAACCGGGTTCATCAGCGCAGAATTAACAGAGCGAAAATATTGAACGGTTCCTTACATTAGTCCAGGTGTAAGCTTGCTCCGCAGTGCACTCAGCCTTGGATGTAGGATTGCTGAGAGCAAAGATGATGGGTTTGTCGTTAAAAGAAGCCATGGCCTTAACAATTTCTTCAGTGAATGCTCCAGCGACGGCTGCAACGCCTTCAAAAAAGTCAGGTTAAATGGCATAAGTAATAATTTCCAATCTAGGCAATGTACATGCAATGTACTATCATCCCCAAACAGCACCATAGTGCAATTGAACTCAATAGTAGCCTATTACAGGCTCCAAGATAGTAGGAAAAGCGTATCGAATATTAGTAAAATCCAACTAGTGGTCTATTATCAATGCTGCGTCCTGATTGGTTGAGCTACTTTTAGGCTGTTTGTTATAGCCCACTAGTAGCGAAAAGCGCGGGCTTTTTGGCGGCAAAAAAGAATTAAAGTCTGGCTTTAACTAGCTAAAATTTTTTTGTTGTCGATATTTTTGACCAACTAGTTGGATTTTACTAAAACAATTATTTCTTTCGCCCTCATGGCCTCTGAGTCAATAGCCCATTCGGGCTCGGGGAATAATTGTTAATTATTAAGCGAACACTGCGGGTGGGCTAGGAAGAGACGGATAAGTGGAGCCTGTATTGTTTTCAATACCTCATTCCGATCCACTAGCTCCTGGAATACCCTACCATTGGTCAATTTTGGCAGTTTACGTCAACACTTAGATCGATCACCTGCCTTCACGAGTGAAGAGTCAGCCAAACATGGCGAGCGTTGGAAACAGTCATACACCGCACACTTTTACATTTTGACACGATAAACAGTTTTTCTGGGAGTGAGCGAAGAAGTGAGTAGACTGAGGTATTTAAAAAGATGCTTACAGGCTCTCCTTTTCTCCCTTCACGCAGTTTTTCTCTTGCTCTCCTCTTCGTTGCTCGCCCGCTTTTTTCGCTCGTCTGCACTGATCGAGAGTTTGACAAGGCTAACTAAATAACGACACAGTTTCAAGCGTAAACTCTAATTAGCAGATAACGTATAGGCAGCCAAGCTGGTAGCGAATTAGGAAAACGTGAACGTTCTTGTGAGACAGGCAGATGAGAAGTCGCGCTGAGGTTGCCAGTGGTTTCGATACAAGTCATTTAATTCGATGTCGTTTCTATAAAAGTTTATTCAGTCGAGGTGTAAATAGTTTCACGTACTATCCACCTCAAATGTTTTTCTTGTTCACCAGCAAACTATACTAAAGTGATCAAAAATTTTGTGCAATTTCACTGATAAGTTCGAAACGAAACGACTGGTTTCCGGTGCTGAGAACGAAGCGTTTGATACTCCTCGTAAGAAAAAAGGTTGCAAAATCTTACCAATAATCGCAGTTGGTTTAACGTTTTTGACAACTTCTGCAAGGGTACTGATGTGCTCCGTTTCATGAGCATATTTCAGTTTCTGTTCATTTAATCCTCCGACTGGACGATCCTGAGGAGGGAAGTTTCGATTAAATAATACAGAACGCAATTTTCTTTGCAATTTAAACGTAAGGAGTGGTCACCCATCATTGCTATTTTAAAACGTTTCTGGCAAAAATGGTTAATGCTTCTCAGGCAAAGCAACTGTTTAGCTCTTAAAGGTGTTTTATGAAACTTTTTATTTATTTATAATATTGCTACAGGACTGAGAGCTGTCCAATTTGGTCTGTAATCATACGAGTGATTGGCCAACCTCGTGCTCCTGGCTTAAATCAAGGGAGTCCGCAGGTAACCCAAGCTCGAAATTTGAGCATCGGCGAACATCGGCATTATTGCATAACATTCGAAATATAAGGATTTGTAAAGGAAAAAGTCCTGTCGTTTCTGTAACCTACGAAAATGAAAGGATTTCAATAAAAACAGCTTACCTTACTTAAAATGTGTGTTACGTCTCTTCTGTGTGGTCCACGGGCCGATTTATGGCCGTTTTCATGTAAACGGTTTTCTCTCTATATAGACTAATATAAAGGTTTACATAAAAACCCGCAAAACGGCCATAAACTACTATCAGACTACTATCAACGTCTTACTTTAGAAAGCTGGTTTACTAACTTAGAACAAACGCAACTGGATCGTAGCCAACAGTTACCAGCGCCGTACAAACGACGTATTGACGAGATCAAGAAAAACTAACTACGAGAGAACAACTGGAGAACTGACAATTTGACTAACAATAGACGACTGTTTAACTGTGACAATAGACGGATCGAAACGCACCAATCACTGATTACGAGTCTTCATGGCCATTAACATCACGGCTTAACTGACAGACGACCAATAACATCGCGACATAATTGACCAATCAGATCAATAACCAGAGTATAATACCATCAACTGACGTGATACAACTCACTTTGACTCTGAAGATGACTACCGCACAGGTTGTCGAAACGTCAGTCACTGTCAACAACAACAGTCCTATTCAGGACAACGTTCACCCGGACGATCAAACTCAACTTTTGACTATTCATCCTGCAAAAGTAACTTAGAACTACTGACCACTGACTATTCATCCTGCAAAAACCGAATTGATGTTGTTATCTAAATCAAAATTCATCGGGCCCTTACAGAAAATATGTTTAGGGCAAAAGGAGTTGTCCTTTGTTTCTAAATCTACATGTTTAGGGATTCAAATCGACAATAAACTCTCCTCCGCGCCACATATCAAATCCTTGAGCAAACGTTTTTCAGCAAGAGTGAAGAAACTGAAACACTTAAAAGGTCTCGACAGTCGCATCTTAGAGTCAATTTATTTCAAAGGTATCATTCCAAGTATTAGGTATTCAATTGCATTATGGGGATCTTCAAAATCTCTTCAGACCCTGGAGGACATTCACATCGGAGCAGCGAGATTTGTTTTTAACATAAAGAATTCTACTCTTAGCACTGAGGTCCTGGCAGCGACAAAATGGAAGTCTTTATCATACATGTACAAAAAGAGGATTGCAACCATATCTTATCAAGCATTTTACAACAGGGCTCCGGCTGGTATAAATTCTCTATTTATTAAACATTCTCCATTAAGCAATCTCAGGGACAGTCTGAAACTATACGTGCGTTGCCCTAAAAGTGACTTCCTTCGATCTTCCTTCTCTCATCGTGCGTCTATTTTATGGAATAACTTACCCATGTACTTAAAGAGCAAACCCAAAATTGGTTCTTTTAAATCCGCTCTTAAAAAAAAATCTGACATTTTAGATAAAATAACATTTAATGGGTTACAGGGAATAAATAAAGATATTGTAAATTATATATATTAAGGCAACAGTCAATTAACTGTTGTTTATCTTGCTAGGTATTTTTTTATTTTTCTTTGCTCATTGTAAATAATTCATTGGTTTGTTAATATTATTATTTACTTTTTTGTAGATACTTTTTAGTTTGCAGGTCCACATCAGCTCTTTAGCTGCCTTTTTTACTGACCTACATGAGAAATAAAGTATGTATGTATGTATGTAACCTTTTGACAAATCCGTATATTTCGAATGTTACGCAACAATGTCGATGTTCGCCGATGCTCAAATTTCGAGCTTGGGTTACCTGTGGGGAGTCCGATTTGTTTAATCACGAGCCTGATTAAAAGGACCGAATTAGACGACACAAAGACCTATTACCGTTATTAACGAATTAATTAATTTATTTATTATCTTCTTAATGTATTTAAAGCGTTTAAAAATATGCGAGGGAAAGATGGCGTACCCACTGTTATAATTTGCGTACCATGATTGGCCAGAACCAGTTCATATATTTCCAAAAAACTTGAGTCCTTCTAGGCTCCCGCGTAGCCATTTTTATCTCGTCACGCAAAGCTCCTCCCCTTCCTGGGAAGGAGCGTGGCGTGACGAGGCAAAAACGGCCGTGTGAGAGGCAAGAGTCCTAATTCGTCACCCGTATGCAAACAAGACTATTATAGAGATTAGTGCTCTCTGACGAACCGCAGAGTCGCACGAGGCGATAGCGATTCTAGCTTTACCCGCCCTAACTGTAAGAGTACACAGGAAATGGTTGAACCTTTGGCGTGAATGCCAGTACGTCAAAGTGAATGCCTTTCGCAGCGCGACTTTCCCAAGTGGTAACGTACCCATTGAAAAGTATGTTACCCTACCTTAACAACAAGTCCTCTGGAATCCACCAACCATATCTTGCTCTTGGCCTCGTCATGTGACAATCCCTCCTTGACCATGGCTAGAACAAGCAGATCAGCAATACCAATGGCAGCCTGGAGAAAACAAGCCATAAGTAACCATTAGTGTAAAATTACAAGAGTAGTGAATCTCGAAGTAGTCAATATAACCTTTTGGGACTTAATTCACTTGCAATGGCAAAAGAAAATAGCAATAAAAATGTCTAATTTCTCCTTGTAAAATATTTGGGAAGAAACGGGATTATGCAAACGTTCGGAGTGAGTGAACCAAGGCCGCCCCCCCCCCCCCCAAAAAAAAAGGCCGTTCTGCGCCTTTCCCTCCAGGTAGCCCGGTCTCCATCCCCTCCCTACAAATTGTAAAAAAAAAGGAAGGGACAAGAAAAGGGGACGCCAAAAAAAAAAAAACGTGAAAAAAAAAAAAAACAAAAAAAATGTCAAATTCCTCTGTGAAAAATTTTGGAGAAAAACGGGATTTAGGAAAAGTTGGGGGGGGGGGGACCAAGGCCCCCCCCCCCCCCCCCAAAAAAAAGTGGCTTCGTGGCTATATGCCTGCAGGTAGCCGTGTATCCATGCACTTACTAGAGAGTTTAAACAACTAGGACGGTGACAGTAACGGGGACGTCAAAAAAGCAACAGTTTGAATAAGCAAAACAACAACTCTGCACGCGCATGATCACGCTTTTTTGTACATTTTTTTGCCGTCCTGTCACTGCACTACTACAGCGTGAAGCTTTCCAATGAGACGAATTATAGAGGACGTAAACACTTAGCTGTGTAGCCACATAGCCACCGTTTAGATGTATAGCTTATGAGTAGTCAGGTATTGTGCAATTACCGTAAAATTCCGAAAATAAGCCCCGGGGCTTATATTTTTCAAAGGCCCTTTTTGAGGGGCATATATTCGGAGGGGCTTATCTACGGCGGGAAATTTGCGTCTCAAAATCGATTTGGCTAGCCTTATAGCTGGAAGCAAATTTACCGTTTTTGCTTTGTTTTACTTTGTATTTGAGGGCAATTTTCCGAGTTCAAGCCCCCAGGGGACTCATATTTGGAGGGGCGATTTAACGGAGGGTTTTTTTGCGTTACCGGTTTGGGCGGCTTATATTTGGAGAGGCTTATACATGGAGGGGCTTACTTTCGGAATTTTACGGTAATCCGTGTCAGAGTCCCTTACCTCCCCTGCACCTTGAAAGAGAAATTTGTGATCTGCTAGCTTGTTCTTGGTGATTCGCAGTGCAGCAAGAAGACCAGCGACTGTGACAGATGCTGTACCTGAAATTAAAGTTTAACATAAGTAACATACAGCTGCAAATTCCACACCCTTATAAGATGAGTCTTTGGGATTTCTGAGGGAAAGAGGGGTCTTTACCACAGAGATTACCACAGGGAAGCCAGGAAGGGGACTCAACCCAATAAACCCTCCGTGATGGCTACACAGGTTGTCGGCAAAAGTGCACACGACAATCCAGAAAGGAATTGTGGGTCGTTTTGAGTTCACTGTTCTTCCGAAAGAAACTTGAAAGAATGGCACAAAAGGCCATGGATGTATGTTTGCGGGAAATGCATCCTCATAGCGACCATATCAGTGGTTACAAACAAATTTTAAAACGTGTTATAGGATATAGATAAAATCTGGAACTGTTTTAGGCTATCTGTTAAATTACCTTGTATATCGTCATTGAAAGTACAAATTTGGTTTCTATACTTCTCCAGGAATCTGAAGGCATTGTGATTTCCAAAATCTTCAAACTGGATCAAAACAGACTCCCCATACCTACACAAGACAAAAAGATGCATACATGCTCAAATCTTCCATAGCAACTGTGTACAGTTTAAGATGACATGTCTATATATTTTGCCTTTTTAATTAAAATTAAATAGTTTACTAGGTCAAATTACCTATTGGTAGCAGCATTGATGAATTCATCAATTAAGTCATCATAAGGCTTGCCAGTCACTCGTTTCTGTGGCACTCCAATATACAAGGGATCATCTAACAAGGCCTTCAGAGGGGAATGGAGGGCATTAAAAATTAATATTATACTGCTCAACCTTACAATTATGCATAAATATGCATACATCTTACTTGCTAGAGGGAAGAGAACATATACTGGGACACAATTTGCACAGTGTTTCATATTTTGTTGTTTCAGAAAATATCCGCCATATTTGTCCCATGGAGGCCATCATCAGAAATTCCAAGAAGGCAGAAAAAGGAGAGAAGATCAATTAAAGTTATCAAAGGAAAATACCTGAAATGAGATGGTTGCCAGCAGGAAGATGGGCTGGGGCCTCCACCCAATAACCCTCAGTGGTGGCCAGTGTGTGGATATTTTTTGGAGCATTATACATGACAAAATTCAAAAACTGATAAAATTTTTTACAGCTGAAATATTACAATGTAAGTTGTTGCCTTACCTGGTTATTAGTTCCAACATCAATCATGACAGGTAGACACACTCTTGGATCAATTCCACTGCAAACCGTGTAGAGAGCAAGCTTGCCAACAGGTATCCCCATTCCACAGCAACCAAGATCACCTAAACCAAGTATACGCTCTCCATCTGTCATTACAATGGCCTATAAATTTCAGAGACAAGAACACAACTTAGGAGGGGCCCTGGGGTACTGCAGTGTTGGTGCATGTGAAGTGACATAACAATCAACGGAGTTGATAATTAAGATGAAAAGAAGCACTCCCACTATACACACATAGCTTTGCTTTTCCTAATCCAAATTCCATAATGAAGTTATTTGGAGTCAAAGAAAAACATGTATTTCTCTCAAGCTTTAAGCATCATTACAGCACCTTTCTCGAGAAGTCACTTAAAATTGTCATATTTCATCAGTTGGCTCACATGACAAATAATTTATAATGGTTCGCTATGAGGCTGGAAGTTTGAGACTGGTCGCTGTTGAGGGTTTGAGCCTGACATTGCATTTCAATGGTCTCCTTAAGCTAATACTCTTTGATTGCTGTCTTCCCTTGGCCTTGCAATGGGCATTGTTTCTGTGTGTAATTTTATTCAGTAAACCCCAGGTCAATACAGATGCCAAGGGGACATGCCATGGTGTCTGAATTATCTGGGTGTCTGTATAAAGTGGGTTACTTCTAAAGAAAATATAGGAGATTTTTCAGTGTGAGTACAAATGGAACTGTCCATTATACATTATATGTACAGGTGTCCATACTAAGCTAGTGTCCATAGAGCGGGCTTACAATGTACCTTGACATCTTCAACAGGCCAGTTGCCTACGAGCTCTTCAACATGTCCAAGGTCGTGGATAGAAACAAATAGACCTCTGGGTTTCCTAAAAATCATGCCATATTTCTGACAAGCAAGCCCCACTGTCGGAGTATAGACAATGGGCATCAGCTCTTCAGTATGATCCATCAACAGTTTGAAGAATAATGACTCATTCCTCTCAAGAAGAGCCATAAGCATGATATACTTCTGAAGATCATCAACTTTTCTCTGTAGTTCTGCATAGGTTCTCTTGCACTGGATCTCTAGGGTGGAAATGCGTGGAGGAAGAAGGCCATGAATTCCAAGGATTTGTCGTTCTTCTAGAGTGAATGCTGTTCCCTATAACAAAAATAAGTTGCCAAACAATAATAAAGTTTTTTACAAAGCTACTGCCGCAGCCATTTTGGGAAATTCAATGTACTGTACCCCTCCACACCTGGGTACTACAAACTAAGGTGTGGCCTCTGGATAGATGGCAGGACGTGTAAGAACCCATAAGAGGTTCCATTCGAAACTTAATTATTTGGTTTTATCAACTCAGTCGCCCTAAGGGTGTTAAAGCAGCAGGGGGTGGGGGTGGGGGTGGGGGTGGGGGAGGGGTGGTGAATTCAACAAAGTTTTATATGGGCTACCCTCTGCTGCTTCCAAGCTCCAACTCCTTACCTTTTTATATACCATTTTTGACAGACAAGGTACCCCTTGCATATACCTTCCATTGAAAAATGGTACCCCCTTTACACTAGTTTCATTTTAACTCAGTGCTTAATTATACTGATGTACCATCCTCTTAATACGAATAAATCACTAAACTAGGAAGTTTTCTTGTCTATTAATGCAGTCATAAGACGCAGTGATGCCAACCTCTGGAGATACAAAATCTGGAGACTGTCTCTTCTGAAGAACCCTCAGCCCCACCATCATCCAGTCCACCATCCATGAATTATAACAGGGATGTTATAATTCAATGTTATAACATTATATGAAGACTTTTATAATGTCCCGGCCATCAAAATTCCCATTTTTTGACAAAATAGTCCTGTCAGATAACACCCTCCTCGATCTCCATAATTCTTCATAAGATACTCAGCCTCATTCATTAATTATTAATTAAGTTGACTCTGTTAGGAGGGTTACCCTCTTTACCTGGGACTTTTCTCCCATCAATTCAGGTTTCTGGGAAACTGCCCACCTACTCCTCCTCTAAGCTAACATTAACACTTACTTCTCACTTAGGGCAAAATGATGGCTTAGGGGAGGGGTAGGTGGGTAGTTTCCCAGAAACCAAAATTGGTCCCTTTTCTCCATAGTTATAAACAGGGTCATAAAGAGGGTCCCCAATAGGTTTTTCAGGTCCTGGGATTTGTATTATTTGACAGGACAGGATTTGGGATTTCAGAGCGAAACGGGGACAAGATTCAAAGCTAAAAGTGTACACAGGATGCTGGATGCCAGAAATATCCATCGGGATTATGGAATATTGAACAAAAATTGGGGTCAGGATGATGTGGGACAAGAGAACCCTATGGGGACCCTCCTTAAAGGAGTTGGACCAAGGGAAAAAGCAGGGAAGCTGTTGCACATGTTTCTCAAACAACTATTCACACATACAAATTTGATCAATGCAGAGGCCATTTCAGAACTTTACGAGAAACTTGTAACTGCCACCCTTTTTAACAAGGTTTCTTTGCATTGGGACCATTGTCTTCAATATATATGCCTGTTTAATTAATAAGCTCAATCTGGTTCCACTCAGATGTACATTTATTTATTGAGATTTATAAGGGGCCGACCATTCGACTTTTGAGAGAGGAGGGGGCGGTGGTATGGGTGATTTCAGAAAAGATACTCCTGCAGACTGTTTTCCTACACTGAAAAAAAATTAATCTTTTATGGCTTTTTATCCTAGAAAAAAAGATCTTACACCGTTGTTTGTCGGGGAAATAGTTTCTAGCACCAGAGGTTTGGAGATAAAAATCTTACCCAAACCAAATCACCCATACCCTGACTCAAAAGTTAATTGGTCGGCCCACTACCCCCGGGATGACGTAAAACAAACAAACAAACAAGAATAAATTACGAAGCAGTTCCAAACAGATTAATCCCTGAACAGAAAACAAATGAATCTTTTTCGATACAAGGAGTGAAAGCGGTATTCTTCATGTCACAAAAAGCCACAGTCGTGCAAAATAAAATGTGCGACAATCGCTCAACATCACGTTGGGCATGAGCAACAAATGGTAATGAAAGACGTACTAGTAAAAGAAAGACGTGCGCTCAAGCGCGTACGGACGTCCCCTGAGTTGTCGTTCGAATATTAATTCAACGTACACTACCTTGTTAAGTCGCGGATCTCTAATGATATCAGTGCCTCTGATTGTGGGAATCTTGTGGACGTGCCTTAAACCCGACATTTTAGCTATTCCTGAGGTCTGGATCGCTGACAAACTGTTTGTATGATTTGCAGCTCCAACCTTCGAAAACCTATGGTCGGTCACGCGGAAAAGATTGCACGACAAAACAAACAATAGGTAAGTTAATCTTTGGACAATAAAAAATGTTGTATCGTGACCTTATTTCTTATTATTTTTTAATATTAATAAAATATTGCCAGCTAATAAGGTCGCCCGCTAAACCTGGTGGAGTGGCAAAAATTAGAAAAAGTATATATAAGGCTTATTTTGGTCACTTTAGCTTACCGTTTGAAAGACATTTTTCGGTAAAATGCTCGCCGGACAACAAGACGTACGCAAGTACAACTTTGCATGTCAGAAAACCCAACTAAGCTAACTAAACCAATTTTTCGAGCTGACATCATAAGAGAAAATTTTAGCGCGTGCTGGCCAGCACGCGCGGCCGCTCGTGCTAGCCTGCTGCAGCTAGAGACTGCTTTGAGTCTAGTCTATTCACAGGGACGCCATTTTCACGTCAGAGAGTCGTTGAGCATAAATCGTGGGGGATTTATGGACAGCAAGTGCAAGGGGGTGGGGGTGGGCTGTGGAAAGTCGAAGTAGCCAAAGAAGTGGCGGGGGCTGGAGCCCGGGAGAACAGGGAGCGGGAGGGGTACGGGAGACGGGAGAAGAAAGGGTGGGAAGCGGGATCTCTACGATGGACGGGAAGCGGGATAGAAATTCAAAAAGGCAAGCTTTCGTTGTTTGTTACTGCTTATCATCCAGTCAAAGAAACGAACCCAACAACAACCCCTCCCCCCCCCTCCCCAACAAAGAAATCAGGACAGTGCCAGGATTGCAAACCTCATTTTTCTTTCCTTCTTTTTTTTTCGTTCGTTCTTTGGCTGTTAGTGTATTTTTTGTTGTGTTATTTTTTTTCCTTTTGCCCCTCCCTTTTTAAGTACAAACTGTATTTCTCTCTATAGTCAGGTTATTATCAGTTAAAGGTCACGTTTAAGGTATCTTTCGCTTCATTTTTGCATTTATCAGAAAAATTTGCGAATTTAAAGCAATATCGTGAAAATTTGATGAAATATAACACTCGGTTGTTGGTTACAACACCTTGATGAATCTGAATGGTAGTCTAAACTATAACCATGAGGAAAATTTGCGTCAGTTGTGAAATTTTTCCCACCATAAGAGTTTTGCTGTTGCTTCCCTTACAAAGACAACTGAAGAAAATGCGCTTTGAGCACACTGTGAGCCGGATATCAAAATATTGTTATTACTTTTTTGTGTGGCAATTTACATTTCATAACTCACCACACCTTGATATCGCGAAATTCCTTCGGCAGCGATGCTCTCACTGAAACTGCAAGACACTGTGCAATATTGATCGATCTTACCTTGTATTTTTATTGTCCTGTTTCTCTGGTTTCTCGCTACCCATGTATGTTTTTAAAAAATCCTCCAAGTAAAACACTGTTGAACGCAACGCAAGCAAATGATCGAAGCTAAACGGTTTTGTTTTGTAAACCGTCACTGTTGTACCTGTCGTGTTTTTAGAGTGGAGTTTACAAAAATCCCGACGTATTTTCACTGTTTGACAACAAATTACCAACCAACCAATTGTAATTCAACTACAGTTGTGCCGTGTCACACTGATGTTACGTTTCAGAGCATAACAACAAACATTCTGGGAAACTATCTGGGGAAGAATCCATGAAGTCTTTTTTATCACTGGTAAAAATCCTTAGAGAATTAATTATTATCAACCAAGAGCGAATAATCAAATGGGACAGAGAAGTAAGTGCCCAGTCTAGCCCTCAGGATCTGAGAATTTCACCAGTTATATTTAGACCAATTAAACTCTTGAAAATTAAATTAGATAAAATTAATCGGAAGTTGGTCTCCGGAGAGGTCCGCACACTTTTATTCAGTGTTGTCCAGAGAGGACTCATCAGTCGCCATTAAAATTGTTGGCTTCAAACTAGAGCTTTTAAAGTATAATGTGAAGTGTGCTTGGCGCCTACTTTGTGTGTGAAGGGGTATAATGTACCGACTTCAACTTTACTTGGTGGCCATGGAAACGTTCGTAGTTCAGAGAAGACGAAGTTCGGCGCCAAGTATGGGTTACACCACACTTGAGAACACTCTTGATCCATAGGAAATAGAAGCCATGTGCACGATGTGCACGTGGAGCGGTTGTAAGATTCTAATGAACGGAGAGATTGACAGCTTTTACTTCGAGTAATACACTTTGTCAACGAGTGTGAAGCCATATTTTCTACAGAGCGACTTAAGATTTCCAAGTGCACTTGAATCAAGTGCTTGCTTGAAACTACCTTCGCTTCTGGTGTGAAGCCAACAAATATGCTGCATTACTTGCTTTGAAGCAGTCACGCGTCGACTTGAGGACGTTTAAAACTGAACGACTTCAAAATGCGGACGTCTCAGGAATTAGACTTTCTTTAAACTGAAACCTTTAAAAACAAGACGCTGTGCATGGGAGCGTATTTTTAGGCGTCGATGTACAACGCGAGTGTGAATTTTTTATGTGTATTAGGGATTTGTGCGTAGTGCAGTAGCGTTGTATATTTTAGGGGTTGGTTGAGATGCGTGAAGTTGAAGGCGTGGAGTTATACTGGAAGTGATTTGGTATTTAATGGCTGTAGTTAGTTAATCAGTAAAACTTGTTTCTCGTAGAGTTGAATATGAAGTAACAAAAAATAACTTTTTTGGGAGGTAAAAGTGATTTTAGGTGTTGAAGTGAGGTAGTTGTGGAAGTGCTAATTTGGTTATGAAGGGATAGTGTAGTTAGAGTATGTTGAAATAAAGTGGTGGTTGTGAAAAGTTTTTTCAATAGTCGAAAACCGGAGGGGGGAACATACTTGTACTTATTTTAAAGGTTGTAAAGCTTTCTGTTTAGGATTGTTTTTCGCTTATTTTTGGAAATATTTGTTTGGAGAGAACATGGATAAGGGAAATTTTTTTATAGAAAAGGGGGTATGAAGATGTTGATGGGGGCTGAAATTTTGTGTGTGCCCGGGGGCTTTCAAAAGTCGGTGAGGCCAAGGGGGAGGGCGTAAAATATGCCTGTAGCCAGGGGCTGATTACATGAGCCGGGCTGGCTCGCTTTACAGAGATCCCGGCAACTTACTTAAACACAACAAAAATCAACCACAGGGAAACCAATGTTTACTCTGACACTTTCTAGCTAGTTTGGGAGCCCAAGAGAAAACTAATTGCACGTCAATGTTGTGATCAATTGATAGCTGTCAAAACATGGTATCCGCTGACCAGTGTCATCTCACCGTACCGCGGGCTCAAGTGTCGACCCATCGAGGTCGAGTATTTTTGAAGTTATCCGCCGACAAATTACCAGTTTCAAATGATCGTAGGCTCAAGTTTATTTTTTCTAATGATTCATATGAAATAAATTGTGTTTATGTCACTATGGTTTTGGACTGTTAAGATTTTGATTTCAAACTGACCTCGGACGCGAAAATTCAGCCAGTTTTTTAAAAATACAGGCGGGGAAGACCTTTTCTTACTATGGTCACGCGTTGGTCGCGCTCTACGTCCAGTTTTTATACTCTGATTGGTCAAAAATTGACAGGTGAGTTCACGCGGAAAATTTATGCAGCATCAAGCAATTTGTTTATTAACTGTCTTTTCCACTGGATGTACAAAATGAAATACAGCTGCTGTCAAGAGTCTTCTGTTATAGCTGGCTTGTTTATTGGGTCTTTGGTTGAGAAATGCGTCGCTTGTCAAAATTCGGTTATCCGATTTCGGATTGCATCGTTTTCGTTTTTCACCTTGCTCAATGCGTAGAGGGCTTAAAAGTCTCAAGCAACTGTGGCCTTCCTTGATATCTTTCAGGAACTGAATCTCGAATGGTAAGCCTGAGTAATTATTTTATCTGATGTTTGTTTTTGTTATATCTAATTTCACGAAGTCGAGCACAGTTTATGCACCAAGTTTATGCACGTTTGTAAGATTTGAGTCAATGATCTGACCCAGTATCAGGTTTGATATACCGTAGAATTCCGAAAATAAGCCCCTCCATGTATAAGCCCCTCCAAATATAAGCCCCCCAAACCGGTAACGCCAAAAACCCTCCGTTCAATCGCCCCTCCAAATATAAACCCCCGAGGGCTTGTACTTGGAATATTGCCTTCAAATACAAAGTAAAACAAAGCAAAAACGGTAAAATTTACCTTCAACTGTAAGGCTAGCCCAATCGATTTTGAAACGCAAATTTCCCTCCATAGATAAGCCCCTCCAAAAATAAGCTCCTCAAAAAGGGCCTTTGAAAAATAAAAGCCCCGTGGCTAATTTTCGGAATTTTACGGTAAGCTTACAGAACTTTAAAAGGCCTTCAAATATATTTTCTCACCGCAAATAGAAAGAAAACGTTCCGAAGAGTATTTAGGTATAAATTTGGCTGTTGAAAGAAAACTTTGAGCGTTTTCAAGTTCATGCTTCGAGGAGTGGCATCTTTGAAAAAAGCAAACACCAGGAGGCCGGCTGAAATTAAAGTAAAACATAATTAACTTTTAAGATTAAAGTTTCAGAATTTTTAGAGACACTTTAATACTTGTCTTCGTGAATGAAAATTGTTGTCTCTGTAAATGTTTCACCGAATTATCTTTCTTTTACTGATTGTTAGTAGTCTCTCTTGCAATTTTAATCGCTCGTCCGTGGCGTTTGTTTTCATCGTTCATGAACATCGCTTGCAGGAGTACTTTAAAAAAAGGTCGCGCGTATCAAAAGCTTTATAAGATTACACATCGTTATAACTGAAACCATTAAATAACAAAAAAAAATAACAATAATAAACTCGTTATTATGTTGAAGCGTAACTCTATTAAAGTTCCTTCAAACAGTCGACCACACCGACAGCTCGCACTAGAAATGAGAACCGGCTGGCCGTATGGGTGATTTTGGAAATTTTTTGAACGGTTTCGCTAAAAGCCCACGATTGATCGTCCTGAACATTGCCTGAGTGCAATTTGTCTTGAAAAATTGTGAAATACCGCATTCTGTCCGAGGTCTGTATGATAAATATTATTGTAAGTATTGTTTCACCTCAGATGTGATGTATAAAAAGTATTAAAGGTTGGTTTACACACCCC